TTCCCGGACCTCCAGCAGCACTGGCCACCTCCACCCCAATCCACACCACCCCAGCCTGGGACACTCAGCGATGTCCCACCCCGGCGGAGCTCCTGTGGCACTTACAGAACACGTGGAGGGTGACAGGAGGTGACACGCTGGTGCCGAGGGCGTTCTGGGCCTCGCAGTGGTACCGCCCGTGGTCCTCACGGCGCACCCCGCGCAGGGCCAGCACCCGCTCGGTGGCCACGGCCACCCCGTCCTTGTACCAGCGGTAGCCCGAGACCGGGGGGTGGCTGCTGCCGACCTGGCAGCTCAGGGTCACCGTGTCACCCACGCCGATGTTCCCCGAGGAAGGGCTCAGCAACGCCTGTGTGTCCTTGGGGGCGTCTGTGGGGGACACAGAGGGACGTGGTGGGCGCAGGGTGCTGTCACCACCCCGGGGGCACGGAAAAGGGGAGGTGCGTGACAGGAGGTGGCACCTAAGGGACAGATGTGGCCAGGGAGCAGGAAAAGGAGGGAGAAGCGGGAGGAAAATGCTGCAGGGAAGGAGGGGGGTGGCAGGAGTGGAACCTGGCTGCGGTGGCCGTGACAGAGGTGTCCTCTGTCCCCACCCCACGTACGCCTGACCCGCAGCACCACCTCCGTGCTCGCCCGCTTGGATCCGTCGGAAATCTCGCAGAGCAGCTTCTTGGAATGGTCCTTCCAGGTGAAGGAGCTGGTCAGGGTCACCTGGTGGCTGACCCCGCTGGTGTCCAGCTGGACGTGGCTGGACACTTCGGACACCTGAGGGTCGTAGCCCTCCCAGCGCAGGACGGTGTCACCCCTGGGACAAACGTAGGGCGTGGAGCACTCCAAGGTGGACCTTTGTCCCTCGGTCTGCTCGTCGCTGCCGGTGACACTGGGACGCTCCAGATCCTCTGGGATGGAGAGCGGAGGGCAGGATGACCACACGGAATGGGCAAGAAGGGAATTTTTTGGGGAATTTTGGTGTTTTACCCACCCGAAACGCTCAGGGTCACATCCCGCGATGCCGACCAGCGGTCGCCGTTGATGATCTCGAAGCGGAACCTGTAGAGGCCACTGTCCCCCGGCGTCACCCCCTGCAGCAGCAGGGTGCAATTCCGGGCCATGGGGTCCCCCAGGAGCTGGGCACGACCCCCAAAATGGGGATCCACATCCTGGGGCGTGGCGGAGTGGAACACCAACGTCCGCTGGCCGTCGTAGTCCTTGTACCAGATGGCCACGATGCCGTCGGCGGTTGTCACATCCGCGGGGTAGCTGAAGGTGCAGGGGACAACCAGGCAGGACCCACCACTGGCCTGCAGCGACTCGGGGTAGGAGACCCCCCAGGAGCCGAGGGCTGTGCCAGGGAAAATCGGGATCAGGGAGCCAGAAGTGTCCCCGCTTCCCCCAGGACACGCTGGGGACGCGTCACCTGTGCTTGGTGGGGAAGGTGGGAGAGGAGGCGGGATTTGGGATGAACCCCCCACCCAAAAAGGAGGTTCTGGGGTGGAGAAGAGGGAGATAACTGGGAAAAGCTGGATCTTTTGGGCCTAAATAACGAGGAGAAAGGGAAGGCGACCTCCTGGCCTCCCGAATTTATTTTCTCACAGTGGCGCCTTGTCCTTGCTCCCATGGCCTGGCTGTCCCTTTGTCACCCCATCCCTGCCCGTCAGGAGTGTGGGATCGTGGCAAACCCCCCAGGAGCAGCCTTGGGATCCCCCGAATTCCCGCCTGGCTCCTGCTCCCACCCACTGGGGCCAGTCCCGGCCTCCAGTCGCAGAGGGGACAAGCCCCAGGGTGTCACTGTCCCCATACCTGGCGGGACGAGGCTGGCCAGGAGCACGAGGCAGCGGGGCAGGCGCATGGTGGCACTGCTGGGGGACACCGGGGACGCGGGGTCACAACCCTGGGGACAGGAGGAGGTGG